AATGGAAGAAAATCCTCAAGAAAGTTGTAAGCTTCCTCCAACCTCCGATAGAAGTCGTTTAGAACAGAGTAGTAATAGTGGGGAGGAAGAAGGCTTAGTTAGGAAAAGACTAAGGATAAAATAAGTGAGAGAGTGGGGATAACGGTAGAGTGGGGGACAACGGCAGACATGGCGACTGAAGTCGGATGAGTATGGGCAATGGAATCATATGAGAAATTACTCAAGTGGGGATAAGGCGAAAAGAGAGGGAAATTACGGCGGCTCGATTTGTCAGAAGGGACGCATGGTACAAAACTGAGAACACACCTCAGTCCATCGCAGTTATTCAGTAGTAGGTTGAAGCAACAGCAGTAGTCTCTCTTCCTAGTTCTCCTATTCGACTTCTAGATTTTCTCTTAAAAGTAAGTTTCTTATATCCGAGTAGCTCTCTAACTATATCCTAGTAGTATTAACTATTGATTGATTTTTTTTTATTGTAGAATGGATTTTTCATCAATCAACAAAATAGTCAAATCGGCATTCTTACCTAGAAAAACAATGTCGCAATTAGAAAATAATTGCACCTGTATGATAACGAAATTAAGATGGCTGAATATTCGTTATGGATTCAGTATTGTAATAACCGTAGACGACGAATTTGAAATTTTTCTACCTAAACGAGTACGGTTAGCGTTAGAAAATGACGAAGATATGTTGAAGAAATTATACGAGACTATGGAGAAAAAGGAGTTGTTTATTTACCATCGAGAAGGCTCGAATTTTGAATTTAAAAATTAAATTAGTATAATGTATAAATGTATACATAGTAAATAAATTTATATTTAAAATTTTAATTATGTCTTTAATCCTAATTTGATTATTCCTTTAAATCCTTTTTTGGAGAGGATGAAGTAAGTACTTATGCGTTCTTTCTGCTGAGTTCGAATTAATGTAAAGGTCTCATAAGCAATGTTAGTAGTGGAAGTACCTCACAGGTAAGAGCGAAGGTTGGGGCTCTTATCCTTAAAATAAAAAAAAATGTAATATTTATAAATGAAAACAATTATTTATTCAAATACAAGCTAGAATATATATTTGTAAATATATATTTGTAAATGATTGTTATATAGTCTCCTTATTTATCCAAGAATTGTGAGTATTATCAAAGCCAAGCTATTTTACAAAGACTTCATTACCCCGTCTTCTGAGAATTTTTTCTACAAGATAAATATCAGGATACATAGCTTTCTGTAGTTCTTGCTCATAAAAACCACCAACAGTGGGATTTTCTTGATAATCTAGTAGGTAATATGTTACAGGTTTAGTTCTCGAAATATGATGAATAGTAAAAATTTCTGTAGACCAATTAGGCGTATATCCTTTTTCAAAAACGTGTTTAGACTTGCTCACTCGCACTTTATCTCCTACCTGGAATTTCTGTTATTTGAAAAGACGATGATCGTAAGAGAATCGTGTCAAGACCTGCATTTCATTTTCTTTAGTCACGTCTTTAGGCTTCATATTTATTGTGCGATGTTTTCGATTATTATAAGATTCTATTAAACTGGGGAGAAAGCCAATCCACTTATAATGTCCTATTAAACTGAATTTTTTCCACATAATATTTTTTAGTGTTCGATTAAAACGTTCACAAATTGATGCTTTAAGATTGCTATAAGTAGAATAAAGGTTTATTTTATATTTTTTCATTAGTCTGTGAAAATTTGTATTGTAGAACTCTTTGCCTCTATCCACTTGGAGATTTTTAGGAATACGTCTCTCTTTTAATACAGACTCCATTGTGTTCGTGACATCTGTAGCAGTTTTCTGTTTTACTGGAACTCCCCAAGCATATTTAGAGAACGTATCTATAATAGTTAATAGATAGCGAGAACCTTTATTCTCTCTAGAATAGTTTTGCATCTCAACAAGATCAGCTTACCACGTCTCATCTATTCCGCGTATATCGACTTTTCGACGAGGATAGTTTCTACGTGCTGGTTTGTGTAACTCATCCACCACTCTTTGATGTTTCATTATTTCAATCTATTTGTTATAATTGAATGAAAAGTCAGACGGCGTAATCCTTATTTCTTTCTCCTTATTATCATTATTATTATTTGTTTGTAAATATTGAATCGCTTCTCCATACGATCGTAATTGTATTCTTATTATATTTAAAGATTTTTTAAGATTATTTATTGTAGTCGTAATTGTATCGACGTTAGCTTAAAGAGAAGTTCCTTTATCCAGGCGTCTTGCTGAATGCTTTATCATTCACAGTCACATTATCGTTTTGGAAAGAAATTGGAGAATTGCCTATGACATACGTATTTTCATGCAAGCGAACACCAAATGTTTTGTCTAAATTACTTTTCTGTTGCGGTTTATGCAATAGTCAAATATAGTTTGCTACAATCGAGTCATCCAATAGCTGTTTTTGTTTTTTATAGTTGCATTTTAACTAACATTGTCTAAATTTACTGCAGTTCTAGCAAGTGATGATTCACTAGTCTTACTAAATTCGTCTTCATCAGCATTATCATCACCATCATCAGCAGCATCAGCAATAGACATAGCGGATTCAAATGTAGAATCAAGCGGATGTAATGTATAATTTAAGTCATTAACAGTACTATTGAAATGTCGAGATTTATAGGGAGTGTCAGCTTTTGACTTGAAAACTTTATCGAACGTAATTTTCTTCTCCTTGTTCGATTCCTGTTCAGTATTATCGTTAGTTTTATCAATAGCTACCTCCACAAGTTTCTTCAATGGATCAACCATAAGTTTAAAAGTTTCATTCAATGTATTTTCTAAATCAGCTTTGTCACGTTTTATTAGTTGATACTTACGTCTGATGGTATCACGAGCCTCAGATAATTGCTCGAGCATCTTCTTTTCTTTTTCAAAATTAGTCATGTTGACGCTTGTAATTTTTAATGTTAAATAATCTTCATTCGTTCACTCCGCTATATTTATAGCAAAAGAATCGAATCCTTTCCTATACCGTCCATGATTGATTGGTCTATCTCTATCAATAACTATAAATCCATGATTATCGTCTCTCCAACATTTTGAACTAATTGCTTTAATCTTCTCAAAAGTCATATCTGAGTTAACATGATCGTTGTAAATATGTTTAATATTCACGTCATCTCGTCGAAACAAAACTAGTAAATTCACATTATCTCGAATGAGATGTTTCGGTATGCGAGCGTATGATTGACAGAGATAGAAACTATCTACTTTTTTATGTCTTCCCATGTAGAAGAATGCTCTCACGTTGTCTTGTTTTTCAGTGGCTATATCGTCAAATATCATGATGGAATTCGGATTAGCTTTATCCGGTAAAACAACTGCCTCATGCTCGCTGAATGCATAATACTGTATACCATCAATCGGTTCCAATAAATCTTTTAAAAACTTATACTTTGGTTGATTGAGGGACTTTGAATAAATATAAACGTTTTCGAATCTAAGGCCATTAGGATGTGTGATTAGTGTTAGCAAACAGTTAGTTTTCCCACAGTTACTAGAACCACAGAAAACTGCTCGTATACTGTCAGGCAGTAGTTCACTATGTCTTTTTTCTCGTTTTTCCTTCTCAACCACATTATCAAAATTTATGACTTGCAACTTAAGTGGTTGCTCTTTGAAGTCCATATTGTTTTCTAATCACCGATCGAACGACGAATGAGACTACCAACTATAAAAAGACTGTTTATATATTTTTTAGTTTCATTAAGACTTTGTCTTCTGATGAGGTCTGATCATTTGTCACAAAAGAAAGACTGGTGGTGCTGGCTTTTGAATAAGATCATTAATAACTTACCAATCGAAGCTAATTTGCCTGGTTATCAGTATTACGGGCCGGGAACTAAATTGAAAAAATGACTTGCTCGTGGTGATCCTGGAAAAAATCCGCTAGACGCTGCTTGTAAAGATCACGATATTCCTTATTCTCAGAATCGAGAGAACATTGAGGCGAGAAACGAAGCCGACTAAATTGTAGCTAAACAGGCCTGGGATAGAGTGTAAGCGAAAGATAGTAGTTTTGGTGGAAAAGTTGCTGCGTTTGCTGTAGCCAACATAATGAAAGTTAAAAGTAAACTTGGTATGGGTGTTAAAATTTTAAAACGAGGGAAGAAACGAGGTATGGGATAAAAAAATCGTCAACAACAACGACAGCGACGAAAAATACATGTAAAAAGTAAAAATCTATCAATTACATTGAAAAAAATTATTAATGCTGTCTCGAGAAGTGTTGTACCTAGTAATAAATCACTCTTTGTCATTCGTTCAGCTATAAAAGGCGTTAAAGAAGCTGTGAAGAAGTCTGGAGAAAGAAGAAAAATAAATATGCCTCGTATTCTACCAATTCCTAGTAAAGTGGGTGGAGCTCTTCCTCTTTTAATTCTATTATTTGCCGCTTTGAGCGCCACTGGAGCTTTAGCTGAGGAGCTGCTTCAATAGCAAAAGCCGTTAACAGTGCTAAGGCCGCTCAAAATTAATTGAAAGAAGCTCATAGACGCAATAAAACTATGGAAGCTATTGGTATTGGTAAAGGATTTTATTTGAAACCACATCGTAAAGGTTATGGTCTTCATCTGAAACCATATTCAAGTGGAAAAGGTTTATAAAAAAAAGTTCGAAGTAACTTTACGTAGTCGAGCACCGACAGATCATGATATAAGAAAATATGCTAAAATACTAAAAATTGCAAATTTTCGAGGTGTTTTCATGCGTAATGTTCTGCCAGCTGATGGACCACGATATAAAGAGGCAGCTATTGTAAATTTAGATGATAAACGTGGACCAGGTACTTATTGGGTAGCATACAAAAAGAAAGGTGATGAGGTTATGTATTTTGATAGTTTTGGTAATCTACAGCCTCCTAAGGATCTATTGCTTTAGCTCAAAGTTAATTGAATCATGTATAATTATATTAGATATCAAGATTTTAATACATATAATTGCGGCCATCTTTTTCTCAAATTTCTTTTAAACAAACTATAGAAATGACAACTAGTAAGGTAAGTGGTTGTGTTGTGCGCACGGTTCGGTTGTGGACACCCCTGCGTTTCTGCTGACAGAAAACAGATAAGGTTTGTCTAAGAAATGTCATTTATGTATTACGGCAGCCTTTTTTTTATACCAAATATTGAATCGAAGAAACGCGTTTGCTTTGTTTTGTGAGTAATTTAATTTTTCTGTGGTTGAAAAAAAATCACAAAAATTTATTTAAACTTTTTCAATAGTATTAGAAATCTAAGTGAATCATTGAAGGTAAGTGTAATGCATATTTATTCAGTAGGAAGTTACTCCTACTTTGTAATGCAATATCGATTGCAACTTATATGTTAAAACCAAAAATTTCTTTTCACCACTTCTAAAGATACCTGGCAAGTTCAATTGTGGGCACCGAAATTAGTTCTGTTGTGGGCGCCCGTTTTTTTTTTTAAATGGTGAAATATCGACGATGATTGAACCTAATTACTAAGTTAACAATATCTAATGAAATATACGTATGTTGATAATTTTTTATGTTCCAATGTATTTTTACATTAAAATATTAATGGTGTTTTCATGTATTTTTCGATTTTTTTAGCCATGTCGCCCAAAGATAAATCGAAAAAATCGTCCGGTATGGATTTTAACCTGTTAAGGCCGAGAACGCCCCTCCCGGTACACCGCACATTCGACTATCATAACTCGTGCAATTCCACGTATAAAAAATTGAAAAATACACTATTTCAAAGCTTAAGATCTCCCCTTTCCAACGGTGTGCCGAAAAATGCGATAAAAAAATGTTAACTATGTGAAAATATTGTTTAAATAAAAAAAAAACACGATTTTTTCATAATTTTTTTTTATAAAATCAAGTTTTCAGAATGGATCTCAGTTTGCAATCCACTTGGAACCTCAATAACTGGTGGCATAAATGTCTACGCTTTCATAATATATATTTCCGAGATCGTTTTTTTATCTCAGTATCATCAAAATGGCGCTTCAATGACGGAATTTTCGTTCAGACATTCATGAATTTTTTCCTTGAAAAGTGTTTGCGCCGTTTGCGCTTCAAGGCTAAGAGAGAGTGTGCCTGTAAAAAAACGATGCTCCGAGAGCAGAAACTGTAATAAAAAAAAAAAACAATCAGCGATGGTCCGTAAATCAACACGAATGCCGCGCCGGCCTGCATGACGTCCGTTAGAAATGAGTGCGATTAGAGGGTTTCGAGCATTTTTTGTCCGTTCGCCTTAACAACCCGCGTTGCAGATGTTCTTCGTCTAGTTAAACAGCTCGAATTGCTGTCTGCGATTTACGATGTTTTCCAACAAATATAACAGCGAAACACGTGGGCGTCATCTGAGCAATCCTCGGTCTTATCACGTCTGGGGAAACTCAAATTACTTAATGACCGACGCGCGCCATAAAATCGCTGATTTCGGATTCGCTCACAGGGAATGGGCCCAGAGAGTAGGGAGGAGTTTTCCGTGCTTCCCTCGGTTCCCTCGATGCTAAATTGAGTAGTGTAAGTAAGTTCGATTTGAACACTCAACAGTGAAGCACGGCTAACTCCGCTTGTCCTGGACGGTTCATAGATCGATCAATTCCGCGCCGCGCCTGCATCAACTGACGACGAAAACTGTGTGATCTGAGAGTGATCGAGCGTGTTTTGTCATCAAAGGCGTAGAGTGTATTCGTCATTGTGAGTAAGGGCCAATTGCGTTGGCTGGTGACGTCTTCGCGTCCCTGAGGTGTTGCCCGGTGTTCAACTCCGCCCATCAGCTCGGCAACCTAGGTGTTACCGCAGTTCGTGTGTGTGCCCGAGACGTCGGGACTGCGGTGCGCCCGTGTGTGTGTGGGGCAACACCTTCCTTCTTAATCACCTGCGAGGACGAGTGAGTGCAAGAACTACCGGAATGGCCATTCAAGCGTGCGATGCGACATAGACCTTGCGAGCCTCATTTGACCAGCGTAGGTACCTATATTTGTCAGTTGAGGGCTCTCTCTCTCTACCTGCATTTGCTAATATAATTCCATCCGCGAAATTCACTGGTAGGTGTTAATAGTTTACCAGCGTAACTACTATTTTGTCCGGTTTGCATCTATGTAATTGTATATCATTAATTGTATTTGTGACTTGTATTTAAATGGCTTTTCCCCCACTCATGACTGGGGTTTTTTATGCCGGCTAAATATAACGCATTCATGCATTTTCTCTTTTTCGTTAAATAAATTACAATCATTAGTTAAACTAAATCTCAGCGTATCTATTATAAATTGCACACGCCTTCCCATCCTGATCTGAATTCCCTTTTGTTTGTTATTTATAAGACTTTCAATTAACATCTCATTTATTAGCATTGATGCTAAACAAAAAGTATGGACTTTTCGAAAAAGTCAAAAAGAAGAAGAAGTTCTTAAAATCACTCGTATAATACATCAGAATTTTTTCGAAAAGTTTGGAGCAATTTTTTGAATTTTGCAAATTGTGAAATTTTGAACATTTTCAAAATTGACCATAATTTTCTGAAAAAATTCGAGTGCATTCTTTGCTCAGTTTTGAAAACTTTTTATTCCTGGTAAATTTTCATATGAGTTGATTGCTTTTAAGAAAATATTCACAAGTGTCAAAATAATTGCACAGTATGTATAGTCCGAGGTATCCACGCTGCAATTAGTGTGTGAGCTTGTATTGGTGAAAAAAGATATGAAAAGGAATACGTTTTTACAAAAACCTAATTTGGTGATGAAAATAACAAAATAAACTATCTACTTATAACTGCAATCTATATCGGAGCGAAATCCTGAACAGCCGATCGTGTCGCAGAAGCCCATCATTCGTTCATAGGTGGCCTGAAAATCCAATTTTAGCGAACTTCATCGCATTGGAATGATTCATGAAATACATTGAATTTTGAATCTTGCAAGTCATTGAGTATAATTGACTATCATCAATTGAAGCAAAAATCCGTAAATCGGCCCGAATAATACAGCTGGTTGCTACAGGCTTCCTACCAACAGGATGTTCCACTGAAGTTATTTCAGTAGGTTGAGAAAAATGTCGAAAAGGAGAGCCGCGAAAAGGAGTTACTGTGAATTGACTGATGAAGAGTCAGATACGAATTAAAATAAACAGCATATTTTTATACCTAATCCAGATGACTCTGGCACTGATGGAGATAGTTCGTCAGATACTGACAATTCTGAATCAGAACTACCTGATGAAGACAATTCTGAATCGGAAATTCATGTACCAAATGTCTCATATCGATCTGTTTTTGAAAGTTATACAGAAAAACAAAAACTGTTAGAGCCAAATCATACTTTTTCGTGGTGTGAAGGAGAAAAAGTTTACTCTGTAGATTTGAAAGATCAATTGTTATTGCCTGATTCCGTAAAGCAGAAAATATCTTCAATGTCACACGTGGAACTGTTCGAAATCTTTTTCTCTGAAGAAATAAAAAATTATATTACTCAAGCCAGTGAAGAAAATGATTTGAAATTATCTTCAAAAGAACTCAACACATTCATAGGAATATTATTATTATCATCTTACAATATTCGAAAGAATCAAAGAGAGTATTGGGAAACCGACCCTCTCGAAAACTGCTCTGCTGTTTCATCAGCGATGACACGCGATCGGTTTAGTGAAATAAAATCTAAAATAAAATATTCAAAACCTACTGACAAAAATGATAATGATAAAGCTTGGAAAGTCCGTCATATTTTGGAATTGTTTAGGACCAAAATTAAACAATTTGGATATTTTTCAACTGCTCTTTCCATTGACGAAATGATGGTTAGATTTTTTGACCGATACAGGATCAAACTCTGGGCCTTGTGCGGAGCAAATGGATATATATTCAACGTTGATATTTATTGTGGTAAGAACGATACAAGCATTGGGATAAATTTATCCGCATGTCCACTTGGCTCCAGAGTTGTATTACAAATGGTTAATCCACTTCTACATAGCTTTTCAAAAAGAAAATTGTCTGACTATCATGTCTATTTTGATAACTATTTCACTACTCCTGATTTAGTCGTTCACTTGAACAAATGTGGTTTACGATCTACAGGAACTGTTCGTAAAGATAGAGTGAAACAAAAACATGATTTTGAAAAAAAAGCACCACGAGGAACGAACAAAGCGAGTTATGATCGTAATAGTGGAATGAATCTCATCAGTGTAGTTGACTCAAAAGAAGTTTCTATTCTTTCTACGGCAGCTGACGTCACTCCTTTGGAGCCAATGGAAAGATATTCGAGAACTGCTAAGAAAAGATCAAAATTGGAATTCCCTTGTGCTTTTTCTTAATATAACAAGTACATGGGAGGAGTGGATTTGCACGATTGTCGATGCAAGAAAGCTTCTCCAAGTGTCAGTTCAAAGAAGTGGCCATTCAAAATTTTCTCACGAATTATTGAAATGTCAATAACGAACGCTGTAACAATAAGCAATCTTTGCAGAAAGGATAGAAAAATAATGAAAACGCAAGAAATGTGTAAAGAAGTGAGTAGAAAGTATTTGGCGCAATCGAAAATATGTGATCTCAAATCTCACAGGCACGATACTAGAACAAGAAACAAATGTAATAGCGAAGGATGTTGTGTAAGGACTACCAGATACTGCATTGATTGCAAAGAATATTACTGTATCGAGTGTTTTTCAAAATTACACGCAGGAAAGGTAGCGAAATGAATTATCGATTGCAGAAAAATTCATCAATAAAAAAAAATAAAAAATAAAAAAAAAAAATAACTAAAATATGAAAAAAAAAAAAAAAAAAAAAAAAAACTATCTATATTCGTCGACCTCCTCGTTGGTGATAGTTGGGCAACGCAAACTCTGTTTGCGGTGGACAGGCGATCAAAGAGTGGATGTTAATGACTTACGTATTGGGCAATTACTTTGACACTTGTGAATTTTTTTCTTAAAAGCAATGAACTCATATGAAAATTTACCAGGAATAAAAAGTTTTCAAAACTGAGCAAAGAATGCACTCGAATTTTTTCAAAAAATTACGGTCAATTTTGAAAATGTTCAAAATTTCACAATTTGCAAAATTCAAAAAATTGCTCCAAACTTTTCGAAAAAATTCTGATGTATTATACGAGTGATTTTAAGAACTTCTTCTTCTTTTTGACTTTTTCGAAAAGTCCATACTTTTCAAGGAAAAAATTCATGAATGTCTGAACGAAAATTCCGTCATTGAAGCGCCATTTTGATAATACTGAGATAAAAAAACGATCTCAGAATTATATATTATGAAAACTTAGACGATTATGCCACCAGTTATTGAGGTTCCAAGTGGATTGCAAACCGAGATCCATTCTGAAAACTTGATTTTATAAAAAAAAATTATGAAAAAATCGTGTTTTTTTTTATTTAAACAATATTTTCACATAGTTAACATTTTTTTATCGCATTTTTCGACACACCGTTGGAAAGGGGAGATCTTAAGCTTTGAAATAGTGTATCTTTCAATTTTTTATACATGGAATTGCACGAGTTATGATAGGTGAAAGAGCGGTGTACCGGGAGGGGCGTTCTCGGCCTTAATGGGTTAACCCGTTTCCGCCAAAAACGCCACTCACGTTACCCTGGTATTTGAGAGCTTATAACTGACGTTAAAATTGCCAAAAAAAAATTGAAAGAGCTATATTCTGAAAGTTTAAGATCTGCTCTTTCCGATGGTGCTCATCTCAATTTTCCAAAAAATTTTTTACTATTGCAAAATGCAGTTTTTAAAAAAAAATCATGCATTTTTCACTCCTTTTTTTTTTAAATCGAGTTTTCAAAAGGTTTCTCCAGTGCAATCGACCCGGAACCTCTGTAACTGGTGGAATAAATGTCTGAATATTAAGGTCTCATCGTTTTCGGATCGATTTTTCACCTGGGGAGTTTCAAAATGGCGCCTCGATTGCAAAATTTTTGTAAATATGTTTATGAATTTTTAACTTAACAACTATGGGGTTATGGAAAAATTGCCAAAGAAGAAAATGTTCTTAGAATTACTCAAAGAATGCACCTAAATTTTTTCAAAAGATTTCAAGAAAATTTTTTTATTTTTGCAAACTGTAAATTTATGCAAAATTCAAAAGTTGCTCAAAAAATCCAAAATAATTCCCACGTATTCTATAGTTTATTCTAAGAATATTCTATTCTTATAAATTTTTTTGTATGTGCATTTCTTGTGAAAATTTTCCCATTAGTATCAATGTGGTATCAAAGTGCATATTTCGCCTGTTCGCCGTAAAATGCATTTTTTTACGTTGCCCAACTATCACCATCGTGGAGGTCGACGAATATAGATAGTCTCTTTTTTTTTTTACATTTTAGTTATTTTTATATTTTTTTTGTATTTTTGTTTTTTTTTTTAATTATTTATGATTACTTTAGAGAAAAAAATTATTTCGCTTGATGCAAAAGAAGAAAACAGTGCAAGCAATAGTACTTGTCGCAATCAATGCAAAATCTGCTAGTTCGTTGACGACACTCCTTGTAGTTACATACTGCTCTAGTTCTAGTTTCATACTGATGAGATTGGAAATCGCCCAATTTAGAATTGGATAAATACGAGGTGTGTTCAAAAAGTAACGAGAATTTTTAAATTTCGCGGGTTTGGAGAGTACGCTTGTATAAAATTTTTTTTTATTATGTTGGTACACATGCCCCTGAAGTACGATAAAATTTTCAGCAATATTCATTGCTTACTTTTTAAGTGGCAGCCGCTAACGTTAGACGTGTTTTTCGAGCTCGGCGATTTTCGTTTGTGAAAAAAAATGGATCAAAGAATTTGTATTAAATTTTGCGTAAAAAATGAAATAAAGTGTAGTAAAGTTTGTCAAATGTTAACAAAGTCTAGTTAGTATCAATAGTGAGTCTGCTATGAGTAAAGCAAGGATTTATGAGTGGTATAAGCGTTTCCAAGATGGCCACGAAAACGTTGAAGATGACGAACGACCCGGACGCCCAAGCACATCAACAACCGATGAAAACGTGAAAAAAGTGAAAGAAATGGTTATGAACGATCGCCGAATCACAATCAGAGAAGTCGCTGATGACGTTGGCATATCAGTTGGCTCATGCCATCAAATTTTTTCGAATGTTTTGGGTATGAAACGTGTGGCAGCAAAATTCGTTCCAAAATTGTTGAATTTCGAACAAAAACAGCGGCGAATGGAAGTTGCTCAGGAGTCGCTAAATGAAGTCAATAACGATGCAGAACTACTAAAACGTGTTATAACAGGTGACGAAACATGGGTTTATGGATATGATGTCGAAACTAAGGCTCAATCGTCCCAGTGGAGGCATTCTGGATCGCCAAGACCGAAAAAGGCTTGACAAGTACGGTCGAATGTGAAGGTTATGCTCACTGTGTTCTTCGATTTTAATGGCATAGTGCATTATGAATTCTTGCCACAAGGTCAAACAATCAATAAGCAGTACTACCTACAAGTTCAACGTCGTTTGCGTGAAGCAATCCGAAAAAAACGCCCGGATTTGTGGCAAAACAATTCATGGCTTTTGCACCACGATAATGCGCCTGCTCACATTTCATTGCTTGTTCGTGAATTTTTGGCCAAAAACGAAACTGTAACGATGCCTCAGCCTCCATATTCGCCAGATATGGCTCCATGTGACTTTTTTCTATTTCCAAAAATAAAGAGAACATTAAAAGGCCGTCGTTTTACAAGCATAGATGACATTAAAAGCGAATCGCTGAAAGAGCTAAAAGCTATTACAAAGATCGAGTTTCAAAAGTGTTTCGAGGATTGGAAAAAGCGTTGGCATAAGTGTATTGTATCCGAAGGGGACTACTTTGAAGGCGACAACATTAATGTAGATGAATAAATAAATATTTTTTTCATAAAACGAAAATTCTCGTTATTTTTTGAACACACCTCGTACACTCTACTGATTTCTTTACATAAATATTTTGTTGTAACATGTTTAGTTTTGTCGGTATTGCAAATGTTCCAAAGTGTTAAAACATTTGTAACTGAAGCTTGAAGGATACGCGAGAAAATTTAGAATGTCCATTTTTTTGAGCTAATACTTGGGCAAGCTTTTTTACATAGAAAATCGTGCAAGTCTACGCCTCCCATAAATTTGTTGTACAGTGAGAAGGCAAAAGGAAATCCTATTTCTATTCTATCTTTAGCAGTTCGTGAATACCTTTTTATTGGTTTTATAGGTGTAACACCAACTGCTGTAGATAAAACAGATACTTCTTTGGAGTAAATTACAGTAATAAAGTTCATAGCACTGTTTGTGTCATGATCCACTTTGAATGTTCCTCGCGGAGCTTTTTTTTCAAAAGTATGCTTTACTTTCACTCTATCCTTGCGTACAGTTCCTGTCGTTCGCAATCCATATTTGTCGAAGTGTACAATTAAATCAGGACTAGTGAAATAATTATCGAAATAGAGGTGATAGTCTAATAGCTTTCTTTTTGAAATGCCAAGTAAAAGAGGATTGATCATTTGTACAACTACTCTGGATCCAAGTGGACATGATGCTAAATTTATTCCAATGCTAGTATCATTTTTACCACAGTAAATGTCCATATTGAACAAATACCCATTTGCTCCACACAATCCCCAGAGCTTTAGTCCATATCTGTCAGGCTTGCAAGGTAAATATTATTTTAGGCAAGTACGTCCAAAAAATCTGACCATCATTTCATCTACAGAAAGAGCTGTCATAAAAAAGCCAAATTGTTGAATATTTGTTTTGAATAGATTTAATATTTCCCGAACTTTCCAAGCTTTGTCATGGTCATTTTTATCTTTAGGTTTAGAATATTTTATTTTTGTTTTTATTTCACAAAACCTATCACGACTCATTGCTGAAGAAACTACAGAGCACTTCACAAGAGGGTCAGTTTCCCAATACTCCCTTAGCTCATTTCGTATGTTGTACGAAGATAGCAGTAATATTCCCACAAAAGTATTAAGTTCTTTTACGGATAAATCCAATCCATTTGCTTCGCTAGCTTCAATGATATAATTTTTTATTTCTTTAGAGAAAAAAAGTTCAAATAACTGCACAGGTGACATTGAACATATTTTTTTCTTTACAGAATCACTCAACAGTAATTCATTCTCTACATTTCCAGGGCATACTTTTTCTGAATTACACCATGAAAATTCATGAAATTATGAAAAGTAGATCTGTATGAAATGTTTGGTTTTGGGATTTCTTCTTCCAAATTCTCATCATCTGAGTCATATTCTCCTTCAGAACCTGAGTTGTCTGGATCAGGTATAACCACGAACTCATCATTCTCTTCGGAATCTACATCTGAATCG